GGAATGTCTAATTACTAAACTTGTGCCGATTCTGTCTTGTCAGAAGTGCCAACTTAAAATTTATTGACATTTATTTATCATGGCGCCCATCATATGGGGGGTCAAAATGTTTTTACGATGCGGTATCTAGACCTTCTGGGGGTCGATTCTCGACTCATAAGAATTTTTTCCTATAGGAATTTTTGACATTTTTATATACATCGAAAATTTATGACATTTTCCTACATATAGGAAAGTGTCACAAATTCCTATAGGAAAAGGTTCCTACAAGTCGAGAATCGACCCACTGAGGGCTATGGTATACGCCAAGAGCTTGCATTATAAATGTAAAAGAAGAAAAAATTATCAATCATTCCATTCTTGTTGACATTTATAATATACGGATGAAGTCTTAACAGTCGAACTGCTAATTCTAATAAAATGTACACGTATACACATGTAAAAAATTGAAAATACCTTTATTCGTTTCTTTTCTTTATCTACAAAATAATATAAAAGCTTATAACAGCAATTACTATCGTCTTTATTATTTTATTTCTACTTTATCCAATTCAACTTTTGATATATCTAAATTAAAATTTGACAGGTACTACATTCATATCTAAGACCAACAATAACTAGACTAGATAATAACTAGACCTCAACAATGATGAAAAAAGCATTACTTTAAACTAACTTTAATAAATAATATTGCAAAATTATTAGAGTTATAAATAATTTACAATTATATTTGTTCGTAAATGTAGTATATGTTATGCTGCGTGAACATTAGAATAATAACCTGTCAAATGATTGACCAATCATCTGATGGCCAAATCTTGAAGTTGGATACATATTGATGTTAAAATATACTTTATCTAGCTCTTAATGATCAATATATGATCGAGTCGGGTACCTCCTCCTCGGAGGGTACCTCACCTTTTAACGACCTCTGGTGAATTTTTTGGAACTACGTTGTGTTTGGTGCCATATCGTCTTTTGTTTTTATATAGGATTTTAGGGAAGTTGAAACACCTTTAAAAAAAAATCGCCAAAAGGACCTACTTGACTTTTTCCTAGTAAATCCTCGTTAAATTTCAGACTGTGGAACATAATGTACTGTAAAATTTATGAAAAATTTAGTTATGGATGGCTTAACTACAAATCCGTGGAATGTGGCCATATAACTATTACCTACAATCTTTTAGAATATTTAAGCATTGATTCAAAAACCACCTTTTATGTGTGCCTAAAGTTTTGGGGTGCTATTTAGAAAGGACGACTAAGAACATTCGGGGGGTAATAAATGGCTATTTTCCAAACATAAAAAACCACAACGTCCTGTAACTTTCCAATACATTAGCCGTTGGGTGAAATTAAACCCAAAGTATTTAATTTGCATTTTACACTTCATGTCTCTACATATCCTCTTAATAAATTGGGAGTTAATTGACACAAACATACATTTAACAATTTCTATAAAAGACTTTTTATAAATCGTTATAATTACTTCTGTTATTGCAATAAAATAATGCTAGTAGGGTAATTAGCATATACCAGAACAGTTCGAATAATGGTTCAATCGTTGGGTTTGAAATAAAAATGTATTTGGTAATTGTTTTATCTATTCTTTAAACATTTACATGCGATCATTTGGAACAAGGCGTGGAATATAATTGAAAGATCAAAAGAACTTACCTGAAGTGAAGTTCAATCTCAATTATATGTAATGCCTTGTTCTCATCTCTACAAGATTCAAACACAATTACCGCTTTAAAAGAATGACGTAAGAGTGTATCTGAGTACGACGGAACGGGAGCAGAGGTGGGAAGGACTGGCACAACCAGTTGGTATTTTGGAACTTATTAAATACTTTTAAGAGTATTTACTTTAAAATACATGGCCACAGATCGGGGAAAGGTGGATACTACCTACTACAAGGCATTTTATATAATTAAGATCAAACTTCACTTCAAGTAAGTTCATTTCATATTCTAATTATAAGCACGCGACTGCTCGCTAGGCCACTCTGTACCAATAATTATCTCGCGACACAGAGCCGGCTTGAGCATGTATAAGCGAAATGGGATTATTTTTATCTAAGGATTATACTAATGAACAGTTTAGGAAAAATAGCATTATTGTTGCAACATTGTTTATAAATCTTTTAAACTTTTTGATAATAACTTAAATTAAATTCCCAATTTAGTCCTTAGTTTTGACCATATTACCTCTTAGTGTAAACATATATATTGATATGGAAATTTGGAAATAGCAATTTTGGATGTGGTAAATGTATAGATAGTTGGGAGGGATGTTTCTGTTTTTGAAAAAGGATTTTAGATTAATAATTATTAATGATTGTCAGCGGGGATCAAAAACTGTTAGAGGGGAATTGGAATTTTGAAACTTATAGAGAAATAAAGTAGAAAAGATAAAAACAAGTTAAATAAGTTTTATTTATAAAATCAGAGAAAAGTAAATTGAAAATAGAGACAAACAAATACTTTAGAGGACATTACACAAGAGGTAATAAGTATACAGGTAAAGACACGAAAACAGGCAATCAAAGATAGACAAAGACAGGGAAAGGCGGACAAGTAGTAGCAGGACAAAAGCAACAGTAGTAGCAGAACGAACGCAGTAGCAGGACAAAATCAGCAGCAGAAGAAGAATAAGAAGAAAGAAGAAAACAAAGATTTTTTTTGTTACTAAATGTATAATATAGTATGTAGTATGTTTGAACCCCACCCAATATTGAGATTTTTGTTGATTGGAACCATAGATAGCATAGGAAGGTTTCTATATCAATATATATATTTTTTCATGACTGTCTTATATCTCGATAGGTGTTAGGTTTTATATCTCGTTAGTGTTAGGTTGAAAATGAGGGATGATCTGATCGCCTTCTACTGCGACTCAGATGAATCTATTATGTGTGTACTTTGAAGTACTCTCGTTATTTCTTCATTTGAAAAGAAATACCAATAACAACTAGATACATAAGAGAGCTACTTCTTAGTTTATTAAGTCTACTACAAAAAAAAACCTAATCAATAATCAAAGAATATAATTGAAAAAGGAGCTTACAATCCTAATCAAATCTAATCTATTAAGGCACGATAATGTGAATCATTACAAAACGGTCATTACATGGTATAATGGCAGTAAATTAAAACATAGAGTAAGTAGTCTACGAGGTAGAAAATGTTGGACAACAGTCAACAGTTAGAAAACAGTCAACAGTTGAATATACTTATGGTTTTAACTTGGGTCTATTTTAGAAAGATGAATTAGAGGAAAAAGTTATAAATTTATGTTAGATAAAGTAAAGAGAAATCTCCAATTAGTGATGCCGCGAGACGAGAGATTCTCGTCTCTTGTCTCGTCTCGTACGAGACGAGAGAAACATTTCCTCTCGAAAAAAGATTCGAGACAAGACAAGAGAGTGTCATCTCTTGACGAGAATTTCTCGTTTCTCTCGAGCTCTCTCGAGTTCTCTCGCGCAATTAACTTTTTACTTCTTTAAAATTTTCAATTACTTATCGTAAATTTAAAAATATCAGATTTCCAGATAGTCAAAAAGTTCATTATAACACACCTATTCTATATACACAGTGAGTTTTAAGTATGGAACGCCTCAATTATCTCGGAAACGGCTTGCACGATTTTTATTTATGGTGACCCGTCAAATGCGTCCCGAAAAAAGCGCTTCGACAAAAGCGCCCCGACAAATGCGCTTCTCGACAAAAGCGCCTCCCGAAAACTAACTAACGGAGAGAATCGTAATAATTTCCATGCAGTCAAAATTTTCGGAAGTTACTTTTGGAGATAAGTTAGAAAGACAACAATTTTTAAGTGTTTTTTTCGAAAAACTGTCAAAGACAAAGTAAAAGAAACGAACGTATAATATATTGTTAACATGCTTCAAAATGCTTTCATTTGATATCGCACGAAAAAAAATCTAACTTCCAAATGAAACCCTACCTCCTCCTAACTGACTTCTAAGACAAAGTATTTATAGCAGAGGCAGAAGTTGGAAAGGCTTTTGCTAGTTCTCTCACTTCATACACATAACTGGACAGGTTTTCGGCGGATCTAACCGAAGTGGACGCGATACATTGGCGTACAAAATTATTTTTTAGATGTTTATAACAAATTCGAGTAAATAGTACAATAAATTGTGAATAGCTGTTGAAATTTTGTAGAATTATGATTTGGGTATTATATTACAACTTTGATAATTATTTATAGTCCATAAATACATGCGATTGTCCAGTTCTTATTCTATGAAACGACACTGGCAGGTAAACATTACTGCAAAATTCTGGAAGTCGTCCGACGTGGTTTGACGTTTACCCCTTCTCTACCTACCAAAAGCTTTTCCAACTTCTGCCTTGCTATACATTCTTAGCTAACGCCCAATTTGGGCCGCTGATTACTTTAAATTTCAATTGTTTATGTCAAATAGTGTCTAATTAAAACGATTGTGACAGACGGAGAGACAGAGAGATGCCAAGGTAATTTCCCTAAGTGTTTTTTATTGCCAATTTAGGTACTGATGAGACAAATTACTTGAAAAATTATTTGTTATTGTCTTTAAAATTTTACAATTTTTTTATGTTTCGTCCGAAGTATATCTTTTCCAAATTTAAATGTGCTTGTTTTTATCACGAGAGAAACGAGACGAGACAAGACGAGACGAGAGAATGGCTCTCTCGAGCGAGAGAAGCGCCTTCTCGTCGAGACGAGAGAACAGTTTTCTCTCGCCCTACGAGACGAGACGAGAGAGGCCTCTCTCTCGTCTCGTCTCGTCTCACGGCATCACTATCTCCAATTATATATGATTCAAATTAAATTCAATAGAAAGTTAAACAATGCGGTCCACATAACAATGTATAAAGATCTCGTAAATGGTTATTGCTGTTTGTAATTTATTTTGTATAAACTTTAACTCTAAGAGATCAAATAAATACAATTATCATAAAAATATCGTTCATTAAAAATTATCGATTATTTACCTCACAAGAAGTATTAGATGCATTGGCATTGCCGGCACATACTTTTCCGGTAACATCACAACTACGCATGGTAAACATTGCTTCATCCAGAGCACCAGTTTTCTAAAACAAAAATAAAAATTAAATATATCTATTTTACATATACCGGTTAGGAAAAAAGTATACGAGCCATGATGATAGGCACTGCCAGCGCATTTAAAATTCAGAGGCTCCAAAATTTATTTGAAACAGATTTTGAACGCAGGTTAGAATTGTGGTCATGGTTTTTAAAAAAAAAAAGGAGAAGATATACAATTTTTTTCTGTCAAATACTATTTACTGATGAATCTACTTTCCATAATAACGAATTTGTAAATAGACATAATTTTCATTATTACAGCACCGAAAATAAACACAAATTTCGGAATGTAGATCGACAAAGCTGATGGTCGTTAAACGCCATCGAGATAGAATGAAGTAGATGTAGAGACGATATAAAAGTATTTTTCGATATGACAGATAGACGCATTTTTGAGTGATGGAAAAGTGTGATCAAAATGGCGACTTAAAGTCAATAATGTTATATTTCAAGATTGACCAAATGTTTTTGTATCATTTAAATGAATATATTTAAAAAAATGTCATTTATTCGCACCAAAAATAACTAGTTCCATTAGCTCGAGTTTGACATAAAATTGTAATACATACAAAGGTGCGCACACTCTTAGCATCGTCATAGCATCTCCTCATTATTCTATCTCAATGTAAAACATTTATGGTGGAATGGTAGGAAGGCAGTTGGTGGGACCCTACTTTTTTGATGTCCATTTAAATGGAAGAACATTTATACATTTTTGAAGAAAGATTTCTGGAACCTTCTAGAGGATAATCCTTTGGATAGTAGACAAAATATGTCGCTGCAGCTAGATGGTGCACGCACCCATTTTTCGCATAATGCCAGGACTTATTTAAACTAAAAATAAACACGATTTTAGTTTGCTATTATTAATTTAGGGATTTTGAGAATGGACAATAATGGACATCATTTTGAACATTTATTATAAATTTTAAATTTATTGATAAATTTTGGAATATATATGTTCATTAATGGCTTTGTTAAAATAAAACTATTAGTAGATGAATTTTATTGATTTATTAAAACTATTGATAATAGGTTCAAAAATACTGTAAATATGGGTATAGGAAACCTTATAGAACTTTTAAACTAAATACAATTTTCTTATTGTTGGTACCGTAAAGTACAGAGTGCTCCATTTAAATTAACGCAGTGATTAAATAAAACATTTTACTGTAACAAAACTTCAAATTGCAAACACCTCCGTACATTTTTTGAATATTTTAATGATTCTAATAAAAAGTTACAACATTTTGTGAGGAACTGCCAAAAATTCGTTAATTAATTTTTATGTAATCAAGAGTAATTAATTAATTTCGACAGGACTACATTTTTAAAAATTGTCAAATAAATCGGAAATTATCAAAGATAGGTATAGGAAATCTTTATTAAACTAAGATTATTATTGAAAGTTTAACTTAAAATTAAAAGAAATTAAAATGTGACCTATGTAAAAAAATATATAACGATATTCGTATTTTGATTTGGGACACCCTGTATATATGAAAGTAATTTTAATTTGTAGTCGCCGTTAAGTTGTACATTTATGCCAAAGGAATTTTTATTATCGTTTGCATTTTACCCACTAGGCTTCGTCCCGTTCAGCGTGGCGCACCCTGAATATATTTTTTTTTTTTTGAGTCTTATTTACTGTTCCTAATTTATTTTAATTTTTATGCTCTGAACTTGCTTTATCCTAAAAAGATGAATAAAGTAATATTAACATAAATAAATGTTTATTGTTTTATTTCCACAACATGTTACGCCTCTGGTCGAATAGCATTGGTATATGGAATACGATTTCCTACGGCATTACGAGTCATCTCTTTATTTAGCAACGGACAGTTAATTCTAACCAAACTTTTAACAATATTTGATATATACTCGTACGTTTCAGTTTTTTTTTTTGTGTCATCGGCATCAACTGCTAAGGTTATTAGCCTCGTGTTCTGTGTAGGCTTTGTTACTATTCCCAGCGCCACTTTAGGAACAGCACTGTTAATTAGAACCCAACAGTGAATGGTCGAGTGGGAAATCCTACCAAGGCATCAGAATTAATTTTAAATAATTTAAATTAAATAAAAAAATCCCGGCCAACGGTGGGATTCGAACCTGAGACCCTTGGATCCACAGGTAGATATTCTACCACTGAGCCACCTACCCCGTCGTTTCTACAGTTATTAATTTTTTTAATAAATATAATTGAAAGATCAAAAGAACTTACCTGAAGTGAAGTTCAATCTCAATTATATGTAATGCCTTGTTCTCATCTCTACAAGATTCAAACACAATTACCGCTTTAAAAGAATGACGTAAGAGTGTATCTGAGTACGACGGAACGGGAGCAGAGGTGGGAAGGACTGGCACAACCAGTTGGTATTTTGGAACTTATTAAATACTTTTAAGAGTATTTACTTTAAAATACATGGCCACAGATCGGGGAAAGGTGGATACTACCTACTACAAGGCATTTTATATAATTAAGATCAAACTTCACTTCAAGTAAGTTCATTTCATATTCTAATTATAAGCACGCGACTGCTCGCTAGGCCACTCTGTACCAATAATTATCTCGCGACACAGAGCCGGCTTGAGCATGTATAAGCGAAATGGGATTATTTTTATCTAAGGATTATACTAATGAACAGTTTAGGAAAAATAGCATTATTGTTGCAACATTGTTTATAAATCTTTTAAACTTTTTGATAATAACTTAAATTAAATTCCCAATTTAGTCCTTAGTTTTGACCATATTACCTCTTAGTGTAAACATATATATTGATATGGAAATTTGGAAATAGCAATTTTGGATGTGGTAAATGTATAGATAGTTGGGAGGGATGTTTCTGTTTTTGAAAAAGGATTTTAGATTAATAATTATTAATGATTGTCAGCGGGGATCAAAAACTGTTAGAGGGGAATTGGAATTTTGAAACTTATAGAGAAATAAAGTAGAAAAGATAAAAACAAGTTAAATAAGTTTTATTTATAAAATCAGAGAAAAGTAAATTGAAAATAGAGACAAACAAATACTTTAGAGGACATTACACAAGAGGTAATAAGTATACAGGTAAAGACACGAAAACAGGCAATCAAAGATAGACAAAGACAGGGAAAGGCGGACAAGTAGTAGCAGGACAAAAGCAACAGTAGTAGCAGAACGAACGCAGTAGCAGGACAAAATCAGCAGCAGAAGAAGAATAAGAAGAAAGAAGAAAACAAAGATTTTTTTTGTTACTAAATGTATAATATAGTATGTAGTATGTTTGAACCCCACCCAATATTGAGATTTTTGTTGATTGGAACCATAGATAGCATAGGAAGGTTTCTATATCAATATATATATTTTTTCATGACTGTCTTATATCTCGATAGGTGTTAGGTTTTATATCTCGTTAGTGTTAGGTTGAAAATGAGGGATGATCTGATCGCCTTCTACTGCGACTCAGATGAATCTATTATGTGTGTACTTTGAAGTACTCTCGTTATTTCTTCATTTGAAAAGAAATACCAATAACAACTAGATACATAAGAGAGCTACTTCTTAGTTTATTAAGTCTACTACAAAAAAAAACCTAATCAATAATCAAAGAATATAATTGAAAAAGGAGCTTACAATCCTAATCAAATCTAATCTATTAAGGCACGATAATGTGAATCATTACAAAACGGTCATTACATGGTATAATGGCAGTAAATTAAAACATAGAGTAAGTAGTCTACGAGGTAGAAAATGTTGGACAACAGTCAACAGTTAGAAAACAGTCAACAGTTGAATATACTTATGGTTTTAACTTGGGTCTATTTTAGAAAGATGAATTAGAGGAAAAAGTTATAAATTTATGTTAGATAAAGTAAAGAGAAATCTCCAATTAGTGATGCCGCGAGACGAGAGATTCTCGTCTCTTGTCTCGTCTCGTACGAGACGAGAGAAACATTTCCTCTCGAAAAAAGATTCGAGACAAGACAAGAGAGTGTCATCTCTTGACGAGAATTTCTCGTTTCTCTCGAGCTCTCTCGAGTTCTCTCGCGCAATTAACTTTTTACTTCTTTAAAATTTTCAATTACTTATCGTAAATTTAAAAATATCAGATTTCCAGATAGTCAAAAAGTTCATTATAACACACCTATTCTATATACACAGTGAGTTTTAAGTATGGAACGCCTCAATTATCTCGGAAACGGCTTGCACGATTTTTATTTATGGTGACCCGTCAAATGCGTCCCGAAAAAAGCGCTTCGACAAAAGCGCCCCGACAAATGCGCTTCTCGACAAAAGCGCCTCCCGAAAACTAACTAACGGAGAGAATCGTAATAATTTCCATGCAGTCAAAATTTTCGGAAGTTACTTTTGGAGATAAGTTAGAAAGACAACAATTTTTAAGTGTTTTTTTCGAAAAACTGTCAAAGACAAAGTAAAAGAAACGAACGTATAATATATTGTTAACATGCTTCAAAATGCTTTCATTTGATATCGCACGAAAAAAAATCTAACTTCCAAATGAAACCCTACCTCCTCCTAACTGACTTCTAAGACAAAGTATTTATAGCAGAGGCAGAAGTTGGAAAGGCTTTTGCTAGTTCTCTCACTTCATACACATAACTGGACAGGTTTTCGGCGGATCTAACCGAAGTGGACGCGATACATTGGCGTACAAAATTATTTTTTAGATGTTTATAACAAATTCGAGTAAATAGTACAATAAATTGTGAATAGCTGTTGAAATTTTGTAGAATTATGATTTGGGTATTATATTACAACTTTGATAATTATTTATAGTCCATAAATACATGCGATTGTCCAGTTCTTATTCTATGAAACGACACTGGCAGGTAAACATTACTGCAAAATTCTGGAAGTCGTCCGACGTGGTTTGACGTTTACCCCTTCTCTACCTACCAAAAGCTTTTCCAACTTCTGCCTTGCTATACATTCTTAGCTAACGCCCAATTTGGGCCGCTGATTACTTTAAATTTCAATTGTTTA